GAAAGAGTGAAGTAGATAGGAAAGGGAACAAGACAAACAAGGTACATGTCAGGTCACATCTAGCCCTGGCCTGATCCACAGGGAACTGGGGCATAAACCACAAGGCAGACTTACACCCCCTTGAGGCAAAGGGGCCGGGCTTTTATGCCCCATATCAGTCAGTCATTGCTTGTGGGCCACCCTGGTGGGGAGGGGGAAGAGAGGAGGGTTGTGAGGAGGTGCCCATCAGCTGAGGGCAGGTCTCTGGAGAAGGGTGGCACCTGTGAGCAATTGCAGCCTAGACCAGTTGTCTTGGTTGGAGATCTGCAACAGCCTAGTTCCTCAGGAAGTTTCTGAAGCTCAGTTTTCATCACAGGATCAGCCCCATCTTTAGTGACTATCCTGTTTTACCCCATGTCAGTCACCATTGACTGCTGGCTGCTAGAGGGGGGCATGTAACCTCAAGGGTGCTCACATTTGGCTGAGCTGGAGAAGACAGCAGCTCTGAGGTGACAGCAGCCAACACTCACAGCAGCTGGGGAAGGGGCCACACGGGGGCTCCGTCAGCATCCACAACAGCTGTGCTATTGGGGAAATGGGAGCAGAAGCAGAGTGTCACATCTTGTGATCTCCTTCTAGCTTAAGAGCCAAGAAGCACACACTAAATAAAGAACAAAACAAGATTACACCAAAAAGAACCAAATAGGAAACAATACACTTAAGTATCAGAAAATGTGGGGGACTGATATTAAATGTGATGGTCAAGAGGGAGAGGGGTCTCCCCTGGTGGCACAGTGGTTGAGAGTCTGCCTGCCGATGCAGGGGACGTGGGTTCGTGCCCCGGTCCGGGAAGATCCCACATGCAGCGGAGCGGCTGGGCCCGTGAGCCATGGCCGCTGAGCCTGCGTGTCTGGAGCCTGTGCTCCGCAACGGGAGAGGCCACAACAGGGAGAGGCCCAAGCACAAAAAAAAAAAAAAAAAAAAGAAGAGGGAGAGGGATGTATTCATGGATGTTTCCTGGAGATGTGAGGTAGGATTTGATTAGGTGGTCCGGTGTCGTATGGTCCAAGGCAACATTCCAAGTAGGTGGATGGCTCTGCTCTACTCGGTCATTCAGGGACCTGGGATTATGACAGCCATCCTCAACGTGTAGCTTCCAAGTTTACTCTGGTTGAAACACTTCTAGTTAGTGAGGAGAGAGAAAGAATAGAATTCCAGAGCCTGAGATTTGCTCTTAAGCAAGCAAGGCAAAAGCTGCATACATCCCATCTTCTCACATCTATTGACAAGGGTTCAGTAACATGGCCACAGCTGGCGGCAAGCCGCCAAACCTCAATTACTAAGGAAGAAAGAATGGATTTTGTGGACAGCTAGTGGTCTTCACTCTACCCTCCTCACTTTCCCCAGGACGGGTCATGATAAAAAAAATGTAGAGTCCTGGGAATTCCCTGGTGGTCCAGAGGTTAGGACTCCGTGCTTTCACTGCTGAGGATGCGGGTTCAATCCCTGGTCAGGGAACTAAGATCCCACAAGCTGTGTAGTGTGGCCAAAAAAAAAAAAAAATGTACAGTTCTGCCAAGAGGAAGAAGTGCTATTATTCTGTCATGTTTTCTGAGGGGTGCAGGCGGGAGCCTTGCAGGTCTAACTAAGCCTGTCCTGGGAATGTGACTTTTGCTCTTTTTTTTTTTTTTTTCTGG